ACAGCCGACTAAATTGGGGAAAGCACATCTGGACAAAGCGACTGCAACTAGGATTAATATACAGGAAATATATTGGTTCATGAATAAAAAATCCAAACTAAGTCTACATAATAAATTATTACTGTATAAATGTGTTCTAAAGCCAGTTTGGACCTACGGTATACAGATATGGGGTACAGCATCTAATTCTCACTTACTGAAACTTCAACGTTTCCAATCTAAAGTTTTGAGACATATTACCAATGCACCATGGTACGTGCCCATTTATGTTATACACCGAGATCTTCAGATCCAAAATATTAAAGACACCGTTGTCTCACTCAGTGGCACTTACAAAAATAGACTACTAAACCATCCAAATACACTTGCCCAAGACCTACTTAAGCGACCAAGGAGAGGAAGACTAAAACGACGTGATCATCTAGACCTCTCTATACCTTTATATACATAAACGTATATATCATTTTATAGCTACAACTGATACTACATATACCTACCTACAACTTATGATTGTGTGTGTTGTTATAATTTTAACTATTGCTATTTTTTTTAATATGTTAGTAAAATGTCTTTGTAAATTGTTATTTATATTTCAAATATTTATATATATTAGAAATTTATCTTAAGGATTTCTGTCACTGGACTGATCTCCCCTATGTTAATTACTTGATAAACATATTGATTATTGTTTTTTTTTTATTTGTAGAAACAGATTTCAATAAATAAAGGATGTAAAAAAAAATTTTATGAATGTGATTATGCAAAAAATCACATGGGAATATGTTTCCCATCAGGAATTCGAGGGTTATAAACATATTTATCTTCTCTTATAAACATATTTTGCTAAATTTAAAACCAAAATTCTATTATTTTTATATCATACATTGATTTGTTATTTATTTATGTGTTCTCTAGATTTTTTTTCAGTTCTTAAAAGGTTTATTTATAAGCCAAATTAGTGCAATGTAAATATTTTACATTTTTACACAGCAATTCTTATCGGCAGTGAAGATGGGAAGTCGTAAACTTTTATTTCATCTTTCAATGTAAGATAAAATATAAATGCGATGACCAACTGGAATGTTTAAGATTAAAGAAACATAATATGTCATGTTTATTGGAAATACTCGATATCATTAGCACGTGCAAATCCTACTCTCTCTCCTAATTTCCTATGAAATTAAAATGGTGCATGTTTTTAGGTTCCATTTATTTTTTCGGGCATGCGTATTTACGAGGTTTAGAAACATTTCTACAACGACCTATTGTATTATCGTCTGAGAAATCTTAAATCATCGTCGTATCATTTTGCTATTTACACAATTATTTAAGAAGAAACCAGCCCTAGTCATACATGTACAATAATTCTGTGAATGTAGAAGATTTTTAGAAGGAAAGAGATGGATTGGTCGAAAGAAACTTTCATGGCTGCGTAATATTAGACAATGGTGTGGTTTCACAGTAGAAGAATTATTTCGCGCAGCAGCCGACAGAGAAAGGTTTCAGGAAATTGTAAACATGATAACGGCCAACGTCTGAATACGGACACGGCACCCAAAGAAGAAGAAGAAGATTTTTAATCAGGAAGTATTGTTGAAGGAACGTGGAGAACAACTGGACAATTAATATTCCTTTGTACAACTCATGCCAGAAATTTAGCCACTGTAGCAAAAAGTATTAGATATAGTTGTTGTGATTTTTTTACTAATGAGGGGCAGGTTTCATGGCAACATAAATTTGCTTAAAATGTAAACTTAAATAATTATTAAACTTTATATACTTACACTGATTGTTAAAATAGTATTTGAATTATCACTGTCCCCATTGTTTATATTATTATCTGCTTCTTTTACGTCATTATCCCCTTCCTGTATAGTACTTTGTAAAAGGTTCCTCCTGACCTACGAGAAACTGCATTTCACTAAAATACCATAATGTTGGTTAAATTACATCATCTCTTCCTGCACCGCTTTTTTCAGAGTCCCTTATACGATGTAATTCCTTTCTAAAGTTAGTGCGCAACGAATTGAATTTTTTCACCAACTATAACCTATTAGCATCTGGATAATATTCTCTGTATTTTTGGAGCAATTGATCGTACTGTTAATTTTTTTTTATTGACAATTGACCGATACACATCGATGTACTCTATAATAAACTTTCTTCCCATTTTCCCTTTGCACACATATTTTTTACCATACCGCGCTGTTTAAAACATGAGTGTTACGCAGTATTACTCACAGACGCCGCAATATTTACAATATTGCGCCAGGACCTGATGGAATGGAATGGAATATATGCTGAGGATTTGAAATTGATGGAAGACAATCAACTTGACATTATGACAGAATTATTTAACCATATATATGAAACAGGAACTTTACCAAAAGTTTGGTACATGTCCATATTTATACCACTGCCAAAAAAGCAAATACTAAGAAATGTGAAGAACACCGAATCATTAGCCTCGTGAACCACTGACTCAAAATATTCTTAAACAGCATCCATGCTCGCATATACAAGATATTGGAGGAGGGTATTGCTAATGTACAATTTGGATTTTGCAGCGGTCTTGGCACGAGAAGCACTTTTTAGCATACAAGTATTGATACAACGAGCAAGAGATGTTAATACAGATGTCTTTGCCTGTTACATTGACTTCGAAAAGGCATTTGACAAAGTACAGTATGAGAGGTTTATTGAAACTTTGCGAATCGCAAACATCGATGACAAGGATATAAGAATAATAGCCCATCTCTATAGAAAACAAGTAGCCAAGATTCGAGTAGATAATCAATTATCCGATGAAGTCCCAATACAAAGAGGAGTACGACAAGGTTGCATACTCTCGCCTTTGCTGTTTAATGCGTACTCTACCATCTATTTCGAGAAGCTTTGGGAGAAACCACTGATGGCGTGATTGTTAACGGTGAAGTAATAAATAATCTAAGATATGCAGACGACACTGTCCTTGTTGCGGATAGTGCTGAATGATTACAAAGACTGATAGATCAAGTAGTTAACATCGGTAGAAAATATGGAATGAAACTTAATAATAAGAAGACGAAAATTATGATCATAAGCAAAAACCAAGATACAGATGCAAAGTTTATGGCAGACAATGGGGTATTAGATAGAACAGAAAAAATAACATACCTAGGATGCAACATCACAGACAGCTGGGATCACTCATACGAGATTAAATGTAGGATCTAAAAAGCAAGGAGTGCCTTCCAACAGACCAAGAAGGTTCTCTGCACCTTGAACTTACATCTCCGACTCAAAACCCTAATTGTTATTTGTTTTCTGTTCTTATGTATGGAGCAGAGGCATGGACACTCACTCATGCGTCTTGCAGACGGTTGCAGTCTTTCGAGATATGGTGCTATCGTCGCATGCTCAGAATATCATATGTACATCATATAACTAACGACGCAGTAATGCAACGTTTACAAAAGAACCTGAAGTTTTGAAATCCATTAAAGCTGTTTTATCGGTGCACCAAAACCTAGGAACTGTTATTTATCGACAAAATGTCTCGAAATTTGGACACAATATTCGAAACTATGTTGCTTTTAAAATTATGGTTTTACTTTTTTTATTTTTTTGGTACTTCTGTTGAAAAATTGGATTATACTGTTTAACGTTCTATTATAACCAAACTTTTTACGCCCATCGCTTGAAAGAGTTTTTTTTTCTGTAATCGTTAATTTTTTTTTCACCTTTCTGTGTCCAGTAATAATCGAGAAAAGCGTGTTCAAACTTTGAAGAAAATTGCTAAAAAATACTAAAATCTAATATTCTTTGTTTCAAGTTAAGAAAATAACATTACGCTTATGGAGATCAGTGTTGCCAAAACTCTCAGACACTCTCTTTCGCACGGATGTCCAAGATATTCCCTTTGCTTAATTTTTGAATTTTCATTTTCAATTAACATTTAACTGTAAAGTTAGAATAACTACTAAATAAAAGCCTTATTATCATTATCTAGTCAGAGAACGACATAAAATAGCTGACATACGTCCATCGTATTATTTTAAGTTGCAATTAGTAATTAGATATACGCATTCCAAGCGGTCAATATTTTCTACTGATTTCTATGATTCATGGCATATCGTATTCTCACCGAAAAACAAATAAACTGTCGTTACTAGAATTAAAACAAGATAAAATAAAATTATCTTTTGTAAATACTATTTATCTAATTAAAATCATTTTCCCTACTTTTCATCTCTTGTTTCGACTGGGCACTTTTGGTCAATTACGTTAAAAAACATTAATATAATTCATGTTTGTGGAAACGAAATTGCAAATTATACATCCCTAAATTGTGCTTGTGTGTGTCGTGGCAACGCCGCGTTGCTATCGTCCATAAGAAATACATGGCCCTATCTCCGCAATGTTATTTTCTAAACGTGGAACGTAGTATAGTGATATTACTCATCATTGTCGCTTAGATTCACCGTTATCGCCTTCGTGACTTCAAATCTCATGAGCGTACGGTCAGTTAGTTCGTGTTAAAACTAATTTGAATAGAGAGTAATGCATTTGTTGCCCGTTGGCCGACGTCACTGAGTAAAGATAGCCTCGCGTAAGCAGTGTAGAAATGTAAGTGATACGCCCATTTCAAAGCGCAGGACGCCGCCGAATATCCTGGCTTAAGAATTTGAGACAGTGGACAGGTATGATCACCACATACCTATTTCGAACAGCTGCTAATAAAATACGATGGGCCATTGTGGTAGCCAACATACATAGAGGATAGTGCAGCAGAAGAAGAACGAGAAGAAGTAAAGTATCTCCACAACTTGTGACAGAAAGGACAAAATTGGGATGCAAATACATGTGTCATTCTCCTGTTTTACCAAATTGCTGGTATCTGAATGTTATACATTGAGTATCTATTTTGCCAAATGCGGTTTAAGTATAACTAAGCGCGTTTAAAGTAAATAATATATATTATATACAGTCAGTGTTTGGTAAAATGAAATGATAATTTTGATACGCACACTCTGATTTTATTAGAGTATTTTTTACATTCTCTTAGGAACAATTAGAAATGGTTTCACAAATAAAAAAACACTTTGTTTCACATACTACGTCGTTCCAAGCAAATCCATGCTGACCTATAGAGAGAAAGGCGATCATACAATTTTCCGCTCTGTTGTCAGAAGTTACATTACTTGGTTCGTTAATAAACCAATTTGTATAAGTATACTGTTGTCCAGTGGACAACCATACCCATTCACCTGCCAAATTTGTGCCTGGTGTCCAATCATTTACCAAATTTGTACCTGAGGTCCAAAACCAAGTTAATGCCAAACCTGAAATATAGACATGATTACAGTTAATGAAATTATTACACGTTTTTAGAGTTCTAATACATATAATAAAGTGTGAAATTCGTTTTGATTCTTCTTATTAGGTAAAGTGCCTATTCAACCTTCTAGGCATCCCTCACATGAACAACAATTTTTAAAGGAGGGCCAGATAAAATACAAAATTTCTAAACGAAAAGAAACACATTTTTATAAGTGATATACTTTATTTATAGTTCACAACAAGGCTACAACGGTAACAAAATTAAAAAATAAGATTTTTTTCCTGGTATTAATGGCTTTGGTTACGACCAATATGCCAGAAAAAATGTTTTAAAACTTGATTATTGTTTAGAAGAATATAAAGGCATATGTGACAGGTTGTTTTGAAGCTATTTTCTTGTGTCATTTTAAATTAATTGCTATTTTAATGGGAATAAGCTACAATTGAAGGTTAAAATAAGTATATTGACGTTTCAATTTCCACTTCGGAAATCGTTCTCAAAATATAAAAACGTTTTTGTATTTTGACGACTTCCGAACGATTTCCGAAGTGGAAATTGAAACGTCAATAAACTTACTTTAACCTTCAATTGTGACAGATACAGCTGTAACTAAATTTCTAAAACTGACTGACTGAGATTCTACAAATTATAAATAATTTAAAGAGTCACAAAGCTCCAAACATAGGTGACATTACAAATGAAGCTTTCAAAATTATAGCAATGGAAATAGTAGAGTATTTTAAAGTAGCTATCATTTAACTTTTATATGAAAGTTGTGAAAAATATGCAGCATACTGATCGACCGGTTTAATATACGCAACCACGAAATTGTACAAACTTTACAATATATTGGCTGGATTGGCAATACCACACAAGCTAATTAGACTAATTAAAGCCACAATGGATGAAACTCAGGCATGTGTACGAAAATAAAACCACCGAACAGACTTTTTCAAAATTTCGCAGGGATTAAAGCAGGGAGATGGGCTGGTTAAACTTTGTTTAACCTAGCACTGGAGTATGCGATTAGGTAAATGCAAACTGGACGAGGAAACCTACTGACCAACCGACCGGTTTAAAAATAATGATACAAACGAAAAGAAATCTAGTCCCACAATACATTATACATGAAAATGACACTGAAACGGTTGGAAAGTTTACATACCTGGGAGTAGAAATATATGCCGAAGGATCAGAAAATGGAGAAAAACGGAAGAGAATAAAACAGGCAAACAGAGCTTATTTTGACCTCTCCCATATATTTGGGTCTAAAAATGTCCACCTACATACAAAGATAAGAATCTATAAAATCTTAATTCGACCACTAGCATTCTATAGCAGTGAAGCATGGATCCTGAAAGAAACATCCAAAAGCAAATTCGATACATTCGAAAGGAAAGTACTGAGGAGAATACTAGGAACTGTGAGAGAAAACGGAATCTTGAGAAGTCGATAAAACAACGAGCTTTATCAACTTTATAAGAAAGCATTACTCTCAGACTTCATTAGAATACAAAAATTGCAATGGTCCGGACATGTGATAAGAATGGGAGAGGATAGGATACCAAAAAGAGCACTGAATGATAGAATGCAGGGAAAGAGACGGTTGCACAGCCAAGAAAGCGCTGGGAAGACCCAGTAAACAGCGAAGCACAAGCCCTTCTAGGAGTCCGTGTATGGAGAAGATCAGCTACAGACAAGCAAGGGTGGAGGCAAAAAATAAAGTAGGCCAAGGCTTAATTTGGACTGTAATGCCGTAGAAGAAGAAGAATCACCAAATTGTATCGAAGAAACGAAATAATGATAAAGGTAAGCAAACCACTATCTGCTATGTTAAAACATCAAAGGACTTTCGCAAGGTTTTTACCCATTTTACACAATATTTACAATTTATCCAGAAAATACATTAAAAAAATGCTAGGGGTTAAGAATACCAATCAAAGATGAGCACTTGTACACCTTATGCTATGCTGAAAACCAAGTCATTATTGCATATAAAAAAAGAGGACCTAGGTATTATACCGAGGAACTTGAAGAAAGGGTATAATTAAGCAGGGTATGACATAAATTCTATTGTATTAATTACAGATAAAAGGGAAGAATTACAAAATATGATGGATGAATTAAATAGCGAATCAACAAAAATAGGTTTACATATGAATTATAATAAAACGAAAATTATGAATAACCAACTAGAAGAACTAATAATTACAATTGCACAAACAACTATAGAACAAATAAAAGAATATATATATATATATATATATATATATATATATATATATATATATATATATAGATATAATATAAAATTAATGTTTCTTGGGTTTAGGTTCAATAAAGATATGTTACATGTGGAATTAGTTTTTATTTTCCATTGCAATCAATCAACGTTTCGGCAGGAAACTCTTGCCTTTGTCAAGATTCTAAAATGTGTATATAAATAAGGACAAACAGATATTGTAAAATATGTATATATATATGACTTACCAAAACGTAAAACGTGACACAGACATTAACGAACTAACATATAAATGTTGATATCTGATATATCATTGTTTACTGTCATTAGTATATAATTATTTTTATATGGGCGTATCGTTGATGTTTTCGAAAAAGGTAAGGTGGAGATATGTTATGACTTAAAGAGCTTTTTATGATGTTATATTCTTCTTCTTCAGCCTGTTTGCATCCACTCCTGGACAAAGGCCTCCCCATGAGTTCTCCACTCTTCCCTGTTTTGTGCTATTTGGTGCCAGTTTCTCCCCATTTTTGCTTTGATGTCGTCTAGCCATCGTTTTTGTGGTCTTCCTCTACTCCGACTGTGTTCGCGTGGTCTCCAATGTACAATGTTTTTCGTCCATCTGTCGTTGTTTTGCCGTGCCACGTGCCCTACCCAGTTCCATTTCATTTGTGCAATTCTTCCAATTACATCTTCCACCTTCGTCCTGCTTCGTATGTCCTCGTTTCGTATATGTTCTCTCAGTGATACTCCCAACATAGCTCGTTCGATGGCCCTCTGTGTTGTTCTTAATCTGTTGGCTGACAACTCTGTAAGTGTCATGGTCTCCATTCCATAAGTCATAACCGGTAGAATACAACTGTTGAATACCCTTTTCTTTAGATTTATTGGTATCTTTTTGTTCTTCAACACATCACTGAGTCTGCCTACTGCTGCCCAAGTCATTCGGATTCTTCTAGTTATCTCTGCTGTTTGATTCTGTTTGCCTAGTTTGATGGTGTGACCTAGGTATATATACTCTTCGACACTTTCGATCTCACTTCCATCTAAGTCGATTGTGATATTTTGATTTGTCATTACTTTTGTTTTATTTAAATTCATTTTTAAACCGATTTTTTCAGATTCTTGTTTAAGCTCCTTCAGCATGTAGATTAGTTCCTCTGTATTGTTGCTTATGAGTACTATGTCATCGGCAAATCTTAGGTGGCTTAAAAACCTGCCATCAATTTTAATTCCGAGTTGTTCCCAATTTAACTTCTTGAACACATCTTCTAATGCAAGAGTAAATAATTTTGGAGATATGGTGTCTCCCTGTCGAACACCTCTTTCTGATCTTATTTTGTTTGTTGTTAGGCCTTCTGCTACATTTATTTGCATAGTTGCATTGTCGTATATGTATTTTAGGAGCATTCTATATCTGGAATCTATCCTTGCGTTGTTCATTCCGTCTAATACCGCCCAGAATTCTATGGAATCGAATGCCTTATTGTAATCCACAAATGCCAAATTTGGCATTTGTGGATGTTATATTATTATTGTTTAAATCAGATTGAAATATATTTTATTTAGGTTTTGTGTATCTTTTTTGTCATTTATTGCGTTGGTGTTTCTTTTTATTTCTATTGATTCGTATATCTCCCTCTTCTTTTTGTTTTTTTCTGTTTTTAAAATTCTGATGTTTTCAAAATCAAATTTATGCTTCTTCCCGATTTCATGTTTTGTGAGCGCAGTGACGTTGTTCTTGTCGTATTTGTGAGAACGAATTCTGGATTGAAGCAGTTGACTGGTTTGACCGATATAGACACCTTCACAGTTAGTACATGGTATCTCGTAAACAACATGTGATTTTTTAAGTTTTGGAGTTTGTGTTTTTAGTTTTGTGAAATATTTATTTAAGAGATTGTTGCCTTTGTGGGCCACTGTTATATTACGTTTGGCTAAAAGATTTGTTAGTTGTTCGGATAAACCTTTTATATATGGAAGAGTTGTATAAGTGGTTTTGATACTGTTGGGTTTGTTGTTAGTTGTATTGTTATAAAATTTATTGAGTCTTGATTTGAAAATAGTTTCGATTAGATGTTCGGGATATGCATTCATTAGGAGGGCATTTTTTGCTTTTTTTATTGCAGTTGGTCTGTATTCTGGATCTTTTAGTTTTATAGATTTATCAGCGAGACTTATAATTACAGACTTCTTATGGGAAAATGGAGGATGGGAATTGTACTTAAGATATCGTGAAGACCATGTTTCTTTTGTAAACCACATAGTTTTATCTGTATTGTTAATGCGATGTAAGTTAATATCCAGAAAGTTTATTTTATTATTTTGTTCAATTTCTATAGTGAACTTTAATTTTGGATGGTAACTGTTGAAAATATCTAAAATTTCGGTTGTTTTATTTGTTGGAATAGCACAGATACAGTCATCGATATAGCGGTAGAAGAATGGTACATTAAAATCTAAATGACTCATGACAGATTCTTCTAAGTCTTCCAGAACCAGTTGGGCAATGACACTAGAGATACTTTCAAAGTTCTTGAAAAACATTATCTCTAATGTCATAAACAAAAATCCTTATTATATTAAAGATTCCAATGATCTCATTTCTAAAATTAAAAACATTCACGTACCGGATAACTACTATAATTACGTACTATAATTAATCTCTTTAGATGTCATTTCACTATACACTAACATCCCAATAAAACTTGCCACTGACATCATTAAAAAGAAGTGGAATGACATAAAAGAATACACTAACATCCCATTGCAAGAATTCCAATCATCTGTAGAGTTAACGTTAAACTCACATAAATTACTATTTATAACTGGGAATAAGCCACAATTAAAGATAAAAATACGTTTATTGACGTTTCAATTTCCAATTCGGAAATCGTTCTCAAAATACAAACAGTAAATTAAACAAATTTTTTAAAAAACAAAATTTGTTTAATTTACTGTTTGTATTTTGAGAACGATTTCCGAATTGGAAATTGAAACGTCAATAAACGTATTTTTATCTTTAATTGTGGCTTATTCCCAGTTATAAATAGTAATTAATTTACAATGCCACAAGAAAATAGCTTCAGAACAAAACTCAACATACTTTTTATATAAAGACAAAATATACCAACAAATGGATGGATGCGCAATGGGTGCAAGTATCTCTAGTGTCATTATCTTCATTTATTCAAAAATGTATTATTATTAAAATTATTAAAATTAAATCTCATGAAATAATTTGGTGGAGGAGGCTACTCTCTCACTTTATATAAGTCAAAATCGTGATAATATTATTAAGAGCTATTTAAAACATATAATATTTGAGGAAATATGTTACCTTTATCGCCAATAAATTTTCCAAGTTTTTCATTTTCAAGGTGATTGGATATACTTAGTAATTGCATTCCTTGTTCTCTACAATATTGTGTTGCTTTGAAGTAATTTGCCTAAAATAGGAAATACTGTAAAACGAAAATACAGTAATATTGTCGCTAGTAAATATTCTCCGCAAATACATATAGCTAGATGGGGAGCTGGTTAATTACTTAAACCTTATGTTTATGTTCTTTATTGTTTAACCTTATTATGGATGAAATAATAAAAAAGTAAGAACTAATATAACCTGATATGCAGACGACAATTGGTGTTAAATTTTTGCATATAACTTTTTTTTATACATTTATAAAAAAATCCTTTTTTGTGCTTTTGATACAAAAATAATGAGTTTTTACTGTGCCAAAATATGAGTAGCCTTCAATACAGTTTCGGTGTTATACAGCCTCAAACGTTAAGTATCCCATTTTACGTCACCTTCCCTTATATTATATATATATATATATATATATATATATATATATATAATATATATATATATATATATATATATATATATATATATATATATATATATATATATATATATATATTTATTCCGTGTGGATGTTGTCTGTCGCCCATCGGACGCGTCCCTAGGTGGTGGATAGGGGAACGCCCTAACCAGTCCTACGACTGGCGGGTAGGTGGGAAATAAAATACCACCCGTGAACCAAATCAGACCGGTATGGCAACCCAACAGAGTCCCTGGCCCTCCAGGTTGTGGGGTTAGGCTAGCGGCTAACAACCTCTTCCTGTAAAAATGATATGTTACGGAACCTCAAGAACTATTAGCCGGACGGAACTTACGACGACGACTCTGCAAACGAAAAATGGAATTAAGATTAAGAACATGGAACACCCGAACCCTGTACCGAGCTGGAGCACTCGCATCTTTAGTAGAGCTAGTGAACATGTACCGAGAAGATGTTTTGGAATGATTGGAAAAAATATTGGAATACTTTGCACCATACACAAAAAGGGAGATATCTTTGAATGCTCTAACTATCGAGGAATTACGCTCCTAAATGCAGCTTATTAAATATTCTTCAAAATACTATGCCATCATATGGCACCATATGCAGAGCGAATAATAGGACAATACCAGGCTGGTTTCAGAGGTGGTAAATCAACAATTCATCAGATTTCAACCCTGAGACAACTTCTAGAGAAAACACTGGAATACGGTGTAGACACGCACCACATATTTATAGACTACAAGGCAGCCTACGACTCTGTAAATAGAAGAGAATTGTTTAGAGCAATGATAGACCTAGGAGTACCAAATCAGTTGGTAAGTCTAACCAAACTAACCCTTGAAAAAGTTGAATGCCGAGTACGAATCTAGGGGGAACTCTCTGAACTTTTTAATACAAATAATGGGCTACATCAGGGAGACCCACTCTCCTGTATACTATTCAATCTAGCTTTGGAAAAAGTAATACGTACTTCACAAATCACAACTACCGGTTAAATATATAACAAATCTGTGCAAATCCTAGCCTATTGTCGCCAAAATACACAATCTCGACAAAGATTGTTACTTTGGCCGGCCAATCACAGCGCTCGTTATTAACTTCCCTGTCATTGGCCTCTCGGCGGAAGAGCGCTGCGAGTTCTCAATTACTAAACGTATAAAAGAGCAGCGCACCTTCACCTTCCGATCGGGACTTCAGTCGTCAGACACTTCGAGCCCTACTAGACCTTGTTGGTTAGTGGTGCTTCCTAGTAAAACTGTTGTTTCATTATTAATTCAAATAACCAAAGTCGTCCTTACGTCGAATAAAAAAACGATTACACCGACTTCGAAGATCAGCGATTATTTCCAACCCAGACGTCGAAGATATCCTAAGGCATTATTCGTCGTCTGCTATTATACCACAGTGCACGAAAAGCCGAGTATCAGCTGTAATCGCTACCCGTCAGAAACATACGCTTTTTGAAATAGAAAAACAGTAGTTTTAGAACTATTACAAATTGCGTCGAACTGACACCGACGATTTTTCGGACAACGACGGTAAAAACGAGGAGAAGTCTCGACGGAGACTTACATTCGATTTCACCGCTCCGAGTCAAGCCACGACGACGCTTTGACACTTTTGAACCTTATGCATTTTCAGTAATTAGTAAACACTGGTAAAACTGATAGTGCGAAAGGTAGTGTAAAAAGCGACGGGCTATTGCAGAGCCGATACAACGGGCATTTTTGTGCCTCTTTCTAGGAGACAGAACGCGACGATTCCTGATAAGAAGGAAACCGACATCTCTGCATTTTTGAGGCATATACCACGCAACAGAACTCTGACACATATTGTCGTTGTAAGAAATATATTTATCATTGTAAGAAATTTCGAACTGTTAGAGAGTTCTGTTTGCCGGTGTCACCTCGCTTGTTGCAGAGGCTCGATAGAGCTTCTTACACGAATAAGCCGGTATCTGTACTAACTCCTATACGAAGATGGATCATCGTAATACGAGATCATCTTCAAGAGCGGCGGCCGCTGAGCGTCCAGGAACTCCGGATAAAGGAGAGGATGCTACGGCCGTACGACACTATGCTGATATCAATATTGTTGGGAAAACGCAGCACGAGAGGCGTATGTAGCACTAAAGGAAGCGGCTACAAAAATGGTTTTAATAATAAACATTAATAAAACGAAATAAATGAAAATAGGTACGCAACCACAAATACTACGGCCACTTGTTATAGAAAACGACGTCATTGAAACAGTTAACGAATTTGTATACCTGGGAACGCTCGTCAATACTGAAAATGACACTACCGCAGAGATAAACCGCAGAATTTGCACGGCTAATAGATGTTATTTTGGGCTTAATCTCCTTTTTAAATCTACAGTTATATAAAGAAATACAAAAGTAAAACTCTACAAAACAATAATACGTCCAGTCCAGAAACATATGGTTCAGAAACCTGAACTTTAACAAAAACCAATGAAAACATGTTAGGATGTTTCGAAAGAAAAATACTAAGGCGAATCTATGGAGCGGTAAATGAAAATGGTGTCTGGAGAAGACGTTACAACTTCGAACTCCATACAATATACCAGGAACCAGATATCGTAAAACACATTAAGATAGGACGTCTGAGGTAGGTAGGCCATGTAATGCGGATGGAGCAAACCGACCCGATCGTTAGGGTTTTGTTGACAAAGGAATTTGATAGTGTATTCTAATAAAAGACAGTATGGTGAGTCAAGGAAAGTTTGACGAGAGAAAGAGAGGAGATGGTAAGATATTTTTGTTTTGAGTGATTTGATTGGTTCGAGAGAGGGATTGGAGAAGTAAGAGGAAAGGGAAGTTAGTTTGAGCAAAGGAAAAACGAGAAGTCTAAGATAGAACTGAAAGAGAAAAGGTTGTTTACTTTAGATAAGAATAGAAAAAAAAGGTGTGGACGTTGCGAGATAAAGTTGTGAATCGTGAAAGAAAGTTTGTGACGTTGTTTGTGGCAGCAGAAAGCCGTGACAGTGTAAGAAGAGATCTTCAAATCCACAATTTGTAAGTCTTTCTTTTAATATAAGAATTATTTGAGGCGAGGCCGCATATGTTTTGGTACGAGACTAAACGAGATCAGGAGGTGAGGTGAAACAGCATAAGGAGAATCAACATAATGTTTAGTTTGTTTTATTGAAAACAAAAGATAGACGCAGAGATTCGGATCGATCGAAGTTTTGTTTTTGGATATAGAATTAAATTGAGACAGTTTTTTTTATACATATTTCTAGAACCGGAGAGAAGATTAGGATCATAAGATCTGTTGTTATTTATACTGATAATTACATTATATGATCTTATTTGGGAAAAGACGATGATGAAATAAAGAAAAGAATTACACAAGCTAGAAGAACAATTGGCTGCCTAAATGGAATACTTTGGAGTTCTGAAATAGGAATAAAGCGAAAATATAACATCTATGAGTCACTAATTAAAAGCAGTCTACTTTATGGAGCAGAAACTTGGAGAATAACCGAGAACAACAGAAAAAAATTAGAAGCTGTAGAAATGGATGTGTTTAGAAGATCGTTAGGTATATCCCGCAGGGAAAGAGTTCGAAATGAAGAAGTAAGACGAAGGATTGGAATAGATGGTTACTTAACAACAGACATTGAGAGGAAACAGTTGATTTGGTATGGTCATGTTCAAAGAATGGAAGACACAAGACTACCCAAGAAGATTATGCAGTGGGTACCACCAAACCGCAAAAAACGAGGAAGACCCAAAAAGACATGGAAAGAAGGGGTAACTAAAGCAATGAGTACAAGAGATCTTAGAGACGGCCAATGGGATGATAGAAGGACGTGGAAGTTAGGCATCGGACAACGTCGAAAGACGTTCTAAAACCGATATATATATATATATATATATATATATATATATATATATATATATATATATATATATGATCTTATTTTTTTTGTAAATCTATTTTTTATATAGTTGGTATATTTTAATTTCCATGATAATATATACTGTCCGGGACAATAACTTCTAGCTCTACTTAGGATTCTCCTAGCTCTGAATTATGAACTGACATTTCAATCATATTTTGTTCTTGAAGCTTCATCGAGCGCTTCATTTAGGTAAAGCGCTCGTCAGTGTCTTAAACACAAAATAGCTAATCAAGCTTCGCGAAGCTTTCGAGTACGAACCACTGAAGAGGTCGATAAAAAAATGAATGTCTGGACGAAATGGTACGCAAAGTAGTAGTCAAACGCAGGATCGTCAGACTTCATTCAAATCCTGATGCTCTTTCGAGACAGCCATGCAGTGCAAATTATAATTACTGTTTTCAATTAAAGGATTGACTTTGCCCCGTGGGACGAACCACTGTCATTAATGATCAGTGGCAGCCTTAAGCTACAAGACGCCCAATCAGATGATCCGTGTATAAAAAGAGTATTGGACTGTATGCGTCGAAGTGAGAGATCTTTTTGGCAAGACATTAGTACATGTAGTCCAGAAGTCAAGTCAAGGCAATTAAATTTTCTGTTACTAAAAGATGATCTTATGTACAGAATCTTCGAGAGTGATGATGGTACAGAATCTAAGCTTCAGT